GCTGGACTCACCGTGCAGAGCTGGACTCCGCACTTCCCAGGGCTCCTCACCTGCAGCCCCGGGGTGACAAGCTGTGCAGCGGGCACGGCTGATAGATAAAACCCAAATATCGCTGGCAGCACTGAAAATGTGGACACGGGCTCCATCTTCCCTCAACAAGCTGGTACTTTCCCATTCGTTTTTCTCATTTAATCCGACCCCAAGCCCCCCTTTTACAGAGGTACAAACCGAAGTTACACAGCCGACCTTATTTCGACTCAGGTCTGCCAAGAGTCTCAGCTCTATAGGGCTCCTGAATCTACTTAGGAAACAACCTTGCTGACACAGCCTTCGATTTCCTATGTCAAAGGCTGCCAGCCAGCCAGGACCCCTTGAGTGCAGGGAACCACCACGTGTAAGTGGCACCTGCTAAATCAGGCGGGCGGAATCACTCTGACGTGCAGGCTGCAGTCTGATGGCCTGCAGGAAGCATGCTCTCCTTCAGTAGGGTCCTTCTGTTAATTCACTTAGTTGCCAACATTTTAAAAATAGAATTTTTATAAGTATAGAGTTCTATTTTCTCTCCAAAAAAAAGAAAAATATCAAAAGGTCTAGAACAATGGGCCCACATTTACCGTAGTGAACCAGCTGCAGACGAGCAGCAAGCACATGGCCAGAGAGGAGGAGCATTCCTGCCTTGGCAAGAGAAGGCCCTCAGGAGGACGGTGGCCCCGCAGAGCCACGCAGAGCCCCACAGAGGAGTTTCAGGTGCCCCCCCAGGCCGGACCCCAATCTCTGCCCTCCTCCAGCCTCTGTGTCCTGTCTTTCACCGGACTTGATGAACTACCAAAGTACCCATCCTTCCAAAACAATCTCAAGGAACCGCTGCACCAGTCTTAGGCTTTTTACATAAATGAAGCATCAAAATCCAGTAATGAGAGTTTCAAATGCTGAGAACAGAGAAAATGAAAGGCAGAAAAACAATAACGAGGAAAATTCCCAGAACTGAAGCATTTCCAGACTAGGGAGCGTGTCCACCAAACGCTCAGCACAATGGAGACAGAGGCAGCAGGAGCTGGAGGTGGGGGCAGGGGCATCACCAAACCTCTCTGGAGCAGACCTGGAAGACAGGACATTGTCCCAGAAAGCTCCATGACTCATGCCAGGAAGATACCCTACCTCATAAAGAATGGGACAGCACATGCATACACACGAGTACAAATGAAGGCAAGTACAAAAGTCTCATACAATCACGAATGAATCCTAACATGAAATCAATGACACAGGAAAAAGAATAAAAATGGAGAACAAGGTTTCAGGTCCAAGAACACGAGGTTGGTTCAGCACTGGAAATCTATGAATACGCTGCACTGTATCAAAAGGTGGAAGAGGGGCCCTCATAAATCACCCCAATAAATGCATCTGCTAAAATTAAAAATCCCAACTAAAAAAAAAAAAAAAACCTTCCTGGCCCTGACTGGTGTGGCTCAGTTGGTTGGAGCATCATCCTGCAACCAAAAGGTCACAGGTTTGATTCCCAGTCAGGGTGTGTTGGGAGGCAACCAATCAATGCTCTTCTCTCGTATCAGTGTTTCTCTTTCTCCCTTCCCCTCTCTCTCTAAAAGTAAAATGGGGGAAAAAAATGTCCTTGGGTGAGGATAAAAATAAAAACTTCCTTAGTTAACCAAAAGTGTCAGAAAACCACAGAAATACCATACTCAACAGCAAAATAATAGAAGCATACTCATTAAACTCAGAAGACAACGAACGACAAGACAAAGACACCTGCCACCACATTATTCAACATCACACTGGAGGGCCTGACAATGAATGATTCCAGGACAAGAAGTGCCAGAAAAAGAAATGAGATATAAACATCAGAATAGAAGAGACTGCAGACAGGACTGTAACTAAAAATTCTAAAGTGCCAAACTATTAAAACAAGATTCTAATAAGCCAGCTGTCTATAATTTAATTACAAAAAATAAACTTTTCTATAGATCAGTAATAAATTTGAGAATAGGAGAAACAAAACTACAACATATTTGACAATGAAAACAAATAAGAAAAACCTAGGAATTGAACAAAAAAATGAACGGAGTATAAAAAGAAAGCTATAGTGATGTCAGTCCCATTGGAGCACGAGACTGTCTGCTCTGTTCCGTCAGTGCCCCGCACAGAGCAAGCAGGCAGTGAGCTCTCAGTAGGTGACTGACTGACTGACGGACCAAGAAAAACCACCTGATACATTCTAATTGCTGATGGAGGAGTCCATTGGGTAAAAATACCAGTCATCCCCAAATTACGTTAATATACCTAATGTGATCCTAATAAAAACTTCAGTACAACTTTTTATAGAACATAACTATTTTGAGGTTCACTTCTTAAAAAATGCGCAGGGCTAATCAAAAAACTTCATTAAAAGAAAATGCTGTCTAACCCATACACAATGAAGCAATAATTTTTAAAAATTATGAATAGGAATTTATTATGAAGATGGAGAATTCAGTAAATCATATTAGAAATGTCAGAGGTCCCAAATTCACACTATCAGAAAATAAAATCCCATGTGGATAAAAGCTAAAAAATATTTTACAAATACAAAGGAGCATAAAATATTAAAGCATAGAGGAACTTTTGGCATGGCAACGCCTCTGTGAAAAAATTATACAATGCATGAAAAGATATTTAATTTTACTAGAGACTGAAAAAAACTACGTTACAACACTGAGGCTATTTTTTTGTCTCAAGATTATCAAAAATATTTAAAAGTCCCACCCTGGCTGGTGTGGCTCATCAGGTTGGGAGCTGTCCCCCAAACTGAAGGGTCGCTGGTTCCATTTGGGTCAGGCACAGACCTGGATTGTGGACCAGGGCCCTGGTTGGGGGGTGCGCGAGAGGCAATCGATCAATGTTTCTCTTCCTCTTTCTCCCTCCATCCCCCTCAGTAAAAACAAGTAAATAAAACCTTTTAAAGATATACTTTAAAAGTATCTGGGAAGTGGGGCATCTCCTACATCACCGATGGAGAGGATCAAGTGGTACCAGTCTTTTTGAGGACAACGTGACAATAGCTATCAAAACTAAATGCGGAAACTCTCCGCGCACTACTTCCACGCAAAGTGGTATCCCTCCGCCAGAACCGTGTGCTATGGCACACTCCCCGCACCGCCTTTCCCACAGAAGTGACAGAGCCGGAAGGCCCAGCATTGAAGCAAGTCCCAGCCCTGCTGCTTGCGTGGACCCGGAAGCTCTGGGGCCTGCCCGCCAGGAACAAGGACCACGGGGGCCACGTAGCTCCAGGTCACTGTCGGAGGCCACCTACCCGCGGAGGGGCCACTGGCACCAGCCCAGGAGGCAGTGGCGAGGGGGCACTTGGAGACACCTCATGCCCCACATGCTTGCTCAGCAGATGTCCCCGCCCGGATAGTGGAGCATGTGCGCAGACCACAGGGGGCACCGCGGCCCTCTGGGGGTGACAGACCCCCGGGTGGGCCATGATGAAAAAAGGGCAATAACTAACAGTACAAACTGAATTGAGCACTGGAAGAGAAGCAGGGAACTGGGAGATGGAGATGGAGCGGACGGTGGACATACCGGACCCAGAACGAAAGCTCGAGCGGCTGAGGTCAGGCGTCGGCGGGGTCTGCAGCAGGAAGAATGGGGAGAACCTAAAGGAGCCCAAACTTTCCAGGCTCAGGTTTCCTGCGGACACTTAAGAGCTTTTCTTTCTGTGTTTCACATTCAGCAGCGTGAGAATGGGGGTTGGGGAGGGGGCCCTCCACATCCAGGCGCCTACATCCGGAAGCCCCTGGCCCTGGCCTTGGAAAACCCTGCTGTCCACACAAAAGCGCCAGACAGGCCAACAACCAATGAAAAGCACCATAAAAACACGAAAACGCTCCCGCTGTCCCGGACCAGGTGGCGCTGTGGGATGGGCCGCACCCCACACCCCAGAGGCTGCCCAGGCCCCACCCAGGGCGCCGCGGCGCAGGCCTAGGCATGCGTGGGACGCCTGAGGACACGTTTCTCCCTCTCTTCCCCCCACCCATAAAAAAGAAAAAATAAAGTCGTATTGACCCAGGGGCTCCCAGACCATAATCTGAAAAAAAATAAAATAAAATAAACATAAAAACACCACAATGACCGCCCCACCCCTCAGAGGTCACCAAGTGAGGAAGGTAAACCACGGGTTTCACAGCTCAACTCGAAAAACCCGGAAGCCTCGAAAGATTGAACTCGGAAAAAAACGACCTGACATCCAAGTGGCACACGGCCAACCCACCCAGAGCGCGACGTTTCGGCGACTGTCTCCACGCAAAGGTTTTGACACTACGGCCCAATCTCCAGGCTGGTGACCAGGCCAAGGCAGGCCCGGGACCGTCACCCGAGACTGGACTCCCGTGGGTCTCACTGTTTCCATGACGACCAATTCTCGTGGACACTCACCTTCGCGCCTCCTGTGTCAAACTTGAGAGATTAATGCTACAAGTCACTTTCGAGTAGTCTTCCGTAATTTAAAGGGGGGGGGGGCTCAATCAACACGTGATTTCGCCAGAAGGTGACTTTCTGAGACGGGAGAGTCGGGTGTCCCGTCAAAATCACTTCTGCACGGTGACCGAGACGAACTACCCGGGGACGCGGCCCGGTTCTCAGCACCGGTGTGTCCCACTCCTGGCGTGAGACGCCGACGTGAACCGCTAACAGGTCTCCCTCCATCAGACTAGCGTGGACTCACAAGGAAGCCCGGTGCGCTGAGACGATCTCTCGGGAACGCCGCCGTGTCATCGGGTCCCCTCCCGACGGCGGGCCTTTCATTCTCGGCTTCACACTCACCCGGACGCGTCAGCGAACCCCCACCCGGCGGCGACCACCCCCGCCCTCCCCGGGTCTGGGCGGCCTGCTCCCAGCCACCACCGCTCCCGGGCCCTGCGCTCTGTGCGGATGCTACAGCGGGGGCCCGCGGCAGCGCACGGGGACGCGGCCCGGGCGCGGCGAGCAGGGCCCGGCGGCTCACGTACCTGCGGCGCCGGCTCCTCCGCCCGCTCCTAGAGCGGCCGCCATGCTGCTGCTCCGCCCGGCTGCAGCCGCGCCGCGCCGCGCCAGCTGGGGGGCAGCGGGCGGCGGGCCAAGACGGGGGACGCGGCGAGCGAGGCAGCGGGTCCCGGCCGCTCGGTCCGCTCCTCCGCAGGAAAACAACAAACTACGGCAACATGGCCGCTGCTCGGCCGCCGCCGCCGCCGCGGTGCACGTCGGGATGAGGGCGGCCGGAAGGCGCCTCAGGGGCCCGCCCGGAAAGGCCGCCGCGCCTCAGCACCTCCTTCGAGAGGCCGAGGCCGAGCGAGGAAGGGAAGCGGACAGGCGGCCACCCAGCTCGGCTCCTCAAACTCTAGCGTTTGACGTGAAGGCGGGAGCGGCTGCGGCCGTGCTTTGGTCCCAGGCTCTGTCCGTCGCAAGCGCTTTTCAGCAGTCGGCACCGTGCTTTACGGCCGGCGGCTCTCCCGCGGGCAGCGAGAGCGAGTAGGCCACGCGTAAGGAATGGGGACCGACTTTAGTTTCTGTGTTTGGACAGTGAGGCGGGGAGCCGAAGCGGGAACGCCTGAGGTGCGGCCTGACGAGGGACGGGAACGCGCACCCGGGCCGCGTCCGCGCTGAGGGTGGCCGCGGGAGCGCAGGCGGCGCATGCGCACTGCCCGGGTCTGCGGCTTGGCAGGTGTAGCGCACCGGCAGGTGCGCGGGGGCCCTGTGCACCCAGTCCGCCTCTCAATGCTGCCCTAAAACTCGCTTAACGGAGTTTGCCTTTTCCTTTTTGTTGAGTTTATTGGGGTGACACTAGTTAACAAAAATTATACAGCTTCCAGGCACACAATTCCACAACACGTCTTGTGCACACTGTACTGTGTGTTCACCGCCCCAAGTCAAGTCTCCATTGATCACCATTTATGCCTCGTGTACCCACTTCCACGTCCCTCACCACACTATTGTCCGTGTTCATGAGTTTCTCTTCCCATTTTTGCTCAGCCCCTCCACCCCTGGCACCCCACCTCCACAGCTGCGATCCTGTTCTCTGTGAGTCTCGTCTCTATTTTGCTTGTTAGTTTAATTTGTTCATTAGATTCTGTACATGAATGAAATCATACAGTTCCTGCTGCCCATGACTGGCTTAGCACAATGTTCTCCAGGTCCATCAATGCTGTCGCAGAGACTAAAATTTCCTTCTTTTCTTACGGCTGTGTAGTATTCCATTGTGGGAGTGTACCACAGCTTTTTATCCCTTCGTCTACTGATGGACACCAGGGTTTAAATAACAGCCAGAGTTTGCATTTCTCAGCAGCCAGAAGGTCACAAAATGAGACACTCGTAAGTGACTGAAGTAAAGGTACTTGGAAAGACTTGAAAGCTACTTGGGATCTGGTGTCCAAAGGAGGCCAGTCTGAATTCTCTGCAGTTGGGAGCAGGGCAGGGGCTGAATATAACTGGATCTTCAAATACACACAAGGTGCAGACATTGACTGCATAACAGTGAGTGTGGGGTGACCCAGAAAGGGAAGGGTCATTTCAGGCATAGAGAAGGCTGACAAAGGCTCCGAGATGTCAGGTGGCTTGTGTGATTGGTAACTGGAAGTAGCACCTGGAGTGTTCAATGAGAAAGGTGCTCACTATGGATGAGCTGGAGAGGTGTGCGAGGGCCAGAAGGCGTTTTTCTGAAGCCACAGAGAGTAGGAAATAGTTTTAATAACAGAAGTTACAATGTAAGATTATGTTTAGAAACATGGCAAGAGAAAATGCGCAGCATGGAGACACAAACTGGAGTCACTCAAGCCAGTTAATAACACTCCAGTAACAATCCTAGTAACAATAGCAACATTCCCTGCAGGAGATGGGGTTCCTGGATAGGCAGGTGAGGAAACAGTGTAATCATATATTAATAGTAGCAATGAATCAACAAGCAGAAAACGCAGACACAGACGGCAGTGTGGTGGGTACCAGAGGGACAGAGGGGCAGGGGAGAGAGAAAAAGGTAAAGGGGTCAAATACATGGTGATGGAAGGAGATGTGACTTTGGGCGGCCAACATACAGTGCAATGCATGATGTATCATACAATTGTGCACTTGAAACCTGTATAATTTTATTAACCAATGTCACCCCAACAAATTCAGTTTTTAATAAAATGTTAAAGGTAAAGTTTAAATGCTTAAACTTTACTTTTTAAAGTCAGTCTTTTTCTAACATCAGACCAAGATGGAATATATCATGGGCAAGCAGTTCCAAAACCAGTACATCAGTTTGTGTGGTGAGTGGCAGAAACATCGCAAGGGATTTCAGAATATAGAGGACAATGATCCCCCCAAATCTTGCTGACCAAAAGAATTTTGCTTTAAAACTTTTTCAGCTTTTATACATTTAATGTTTTACATAATAAAATGTTTTTAAAAAAACATTCCAGGTGTAATAACTAATGTAGTATTCATCTAAAACATAAAAGCCAAAAATGGCTAGAAACACTGTTGTTTGATTCAGCTGCATGTAATCACTCAAAAATTATATATATATATGAGATTGCTACATATGCATATATATATGCTGAGCAAGCAGTCTCAAATAACTGTCTCCATTGCAGAGCACATGAACACACCCAGATTTAAAACAAATTCCCAAAGATGAAATGATCTTATAGATACTTTGTAGCTATATAGTACTTGAGGAGGGACAAGTATCTCAGTTATAAACCACCAGAAACTAAATTTCTCTAGGACAACAGTCTCCACACTGTTTTGATCCAACACTCATTGGAAACCCATCTGACCTTGGGCACCAAATATTTGAAGATCTTGACTCTGAGTACAGGTTTACCAAACCCATTTTTTTCCTCTACTGGACAAACAGCACTTTTGGTTGACTTCCTGCCTTGTCCTAGAAAGCTGATGAAGGTAGAACATCAACTGTTTATAAAGTAACATTGTATCACAAACACCCTCTGAGTGGGAAACTCCTTTTGGTTTGGCAGGAATGAACACCTGTCAGGAGGCCGTATCTTGAGGCTCTTTTCACTGTGTGCGGAGATCTAATACACTCAGAGAACTACTAGAAGAGAGATCGGGTGCCAAGGGCAAAGGGCTTCTAAGCCAGAGCAGTTCACACACCCCAATCTCGCACCTGAGCTCACATACATGGGAGGGGGCTCACGCCCACCTGTATGAAATGCAGCAAAGAGCGCCGCAGGTGGCCTTGCTACTGTAGCATCCACCAACGCGAGCAACAAATGGTCGGAAACTTTGAGGAGTTTAAGATGGAACTTTATTGGCCAAAGCTTTACCTGCGCAGGGGCGAACTCTCGAGGTGTCCGGAGACACGGTGCCCAGAGGGCTGCAAATGAGAGTCGCACCTGGCGCTTACAGCCTAGGGTTTTTATTGGGGTGAGCAAGCAAGCAAACACGGAAGCAGATGTGGCCCTTAGCAATTGGCTGTCTCGAGGGAACACACATGGCTATGCTTTCTGCTTGCAACAATGGATACTTTTCTGCAAAGACAAGGTCATGCACAGGCGGTTATCTTGTTCAGCACTCTTTGTAGTTTCTATCTTCCTTGCTGGGTCTGGAGCCTGCCTCGGGTTCCTTGTTCCTCTTGGCTACTTTTATCTAATTCCGGGCCTAACACTACCATCATGGGATGCTTCTCCATCCCACTAAGTGAAGCTGCTGCCAGGGGTGACATTATATGAGTGTAAATGCTGACCTGAGTGGACACTTACAGTTTCATACATGTCCTCCTGAAAATTTAACAGCTTGGCTTTGTTTTTTTTTTTTAGTTAAAAGTGAATATAGAAGCTTTCCTCTTCTGTCAATGTGACACATTCAATATGGAAATTCTAGGGCCCCTCCCTCCCACTGCAAAACAGATTCTGCGGAAAACATCTGGCATTCTTGCAGTACTGGGTTTTAGAAATTAAAACTCCACGGGAGCAAGAGAGAAAGAAAACAAACAAACAAACCCTGAGCGCTAAGTAGCAAGCAGGCAGGAAGGGCAGGTTTCCCTGAGGCACTGCCGAGGGGAAAGAAATTCTTGGCCCCTGTTGGGAAGGGAGAAGTTGAGCACAGGTTCCCAGGCCAAAGCTGAGATTCTGAAAGGACTTCCTCATGATGCTCCCACATATTTCACAGTTTAAGATCAACCAAGCCCTGGCTGGTGTGGCCCAGTGGATTGAGTGCTGGCCTGTGAACCAAAAAGTCGCCAGTTCGATTCCCAGTCAAAGCTCATGCCTGGGTTGCATATTCGGTCCCAGTGCAAGGACAAGAGGTAACAGATTGATTCTCACACATCAGTGTTTCTCTCCCTCTCTTTCTCTCTCCCTCCCCCTCTCTCTAGTAATAAATAAATAAAATCTTTTTTAAAAAAATCATTGGCATCCGAATTTTGTCCATCAAAAAAATGAAATGAAACAAAAAAAGAAAACAGTCTTGTGCACCTGCACGTCTGCTGAGCGAGAGCTTATGTGCCAAGCACCAGGGCAGGTGTGAAATGAACAGTCAGACAAGAACTTGTACGGAGAAGAGGCTCCAAGTTCGCCTGGAGGCAGACAAACAAGACCTGGAAAAACACGGGTCAGAGGCGTGAGGGGCACGAGCCCAGCTCAGAGGGAGCCTGGGGAGGCACCAACCCTACCGGGCTGGGGGCTGTCGTCGGGGAGGGCACCTGAGGAAGGTGGCCCAGGAAGCAAGCTCCGCAGCACTTTGTAAGTGACTAGATGGAGGGACGGTAGGTGGAGGGACGGGCAGGGCTGGGGCAGGGCTGCCAGTGGGGCAGACAGTCCCCATTGCTCAACCCCGTGCCCCAGTATGCTTTCATATCTAAAAATAAGTTATTTAGAGGAGGGACTGAGGGCTGCCTGGTGGAGGCGTGAGACCGAAGCGTTTGGGGCAGTGCACACCGCCCCCCTCAGGCGTGCATGCCTCAGGACCAGGTGACCTGGGCTCAGGTAGTCTTCTGGGCCAGGGAAGGAGCGGCTCAAGTATATTTCTATCCAAAACAGTGCTCTCGTGAAGCGGAATTCTAGTTCTGGCCTCCCTTCTGCATTTCTGCCAGGGTTCCGTGTGTCTCAGGTAGGTGATCACCTCAGGACACTGCCCAGTTGGCCCGCCCTGGAGGGGGCGACCCGGGTTTCCCTTGTAATTACAAAGTATCTGGTGGGGAGGTGCTTGGAGACTATGTAAACATTTTGTTTCCACCCGCTGATTTCCCAGGCACAGGAAGACTGGTGGTGGTCCTGTGGGGTGCCCACCCACACCTTAAAAGTTTACATTTACTCCTTGTAATGCTGCTGGTAGGAAAAGGCTTTCACTATTCCCCACTTATTTGCACACTCAATGGTTCACGTATGTCGGTGAGGACTCGAGGATCCGTATTTTATTCTACGGATTGTAATCTATGATCATGCTCCATCTGTCACAGATTCAGCTGCTGGAAACCCTTCGAGTGAGATCTGGCAACCCTTCACCTTAGGCTGTAGGGTATGCGGTGAGGCAAATGTTTGTGCCCCACCCCCAAATTCACACTCTGGCACCGGAAACCCCAGGGAGTGGTGTCAGGAGAAGGGACCTTTAGGGGGTGATCAGGTGGGATGAGGCCATGGGC